CCCCAAAACCCCAAAACCCCAAAACCCCAAAACCCCTTATTTTATCTACACAGTTGAAGATACTGCTTATTCTATCATCTTGAATATTCTCTTCATATGTTTTGGGTCTGTCTTCTCAAATAACTTTTCCTTCGTCAGAGGATATGAAGCCTTCATAAATTTAGCAAAAGCTTCAGCCGGGTTAGTCTGGATTAGACCTTTCCCTTTTGATCGCTAAAGAGTGAGAAGGATAATTACTCGTGATGACTTTGAACTTCCTCTTTTAGTTTTTCTAGTGATTAGATCAAATCCTTACTTTGATGGTGTTGTTGAGGTTTTCAAACTCTTGTCTTCTAGCAACTTGTTAATTAGTTTGAATATTTCTTCGATTGTGTCAGAGTCTACGATACTTTCCTGGCTTTTATCTAGCCTTTTTAGAAGGTTAGCTGTACATTCAAGGATGTACCCTTTTTCTACAACAGCTGAAACTGTCACTTTGTTGAATTCTTTTATGAAAAGAGGTAAGAACGTATTTATTTGTCCATACTTAGCCAAGCTACTTAGAAAGAACTGACTTATTGTTTTTAATTTAGAATTTGTTACCATAAGATTAACAGTCCCTGCTGATAATAATTTTTCAGCTCTGCTATTGAAAAAGAAAGTTGCACTGGGGATCATGTCAATCAAAAATGCCAGAATTTTGCCAGTGTCATTATAGCTTAATCTATCCTCGCTCTTGCAGATATCATTTATTACTTCATCCAATAAGATTTGAAAAGCGTGGATATTTATCAGATGTCGACTGTTCTTTGAAGCAATAATAATAAGGTCTTGAAGCCCTTCAGATTTAATAGATCTATCATGAGATAATACTTTTTCTCCTATCACGTGTAAAGTATTTTCGATCTGGTTTTCTTTTTCTTTATCCTTCTTTCTTTGCATTTCAAGCTATAAAATTAACTCTCTTTCTTACCATCTTCTGTTGACGCTCTTGCAAGACATTCTTTCTCTGTAATTTTTCCGATTTAAGCTTATCAAGTCTCTCTTTCGAAACTTTCTGGGCTGCTTTTAGCATACCCTTGCTCTGTGATTCCTTATAAAGCTCATCAGGGTTCTGCTTGACAAAATCCTTCGGGTTCAGGCCATAAAATTTTAAGAGTTTTCTGTACTGTAACTTATTGACACTCTCTCCTATAATCTTGACATAATAAGTTGTAGGTTGAATGGTCTTCTTAAGGTACTTCAAAATGCCTCTTGCCATGATGCCTATCTTGGTCTTGGCTTTATTCTCTCCTTCATCACTCTGGTTATCTACACAAATATGATCTCTGTCTTACCTGACTCGGCTTCTTTGATCAGGATCCCGAAGAGGTCTTCCTTAAGGGATAGCTTAATGAAGTCCTGGACTTTCATAACTTCAGTAACTAATTTATCAATGCCCTTGAGAAGGATGGTCTTTAGCTCTTGGGACTTGGAGTCGCGCTCAGGTGAATTAGGTATGGGCAGCAGAGAGGATATTTTCAACCATTTGGATAAGAAGTTCTAGACCTGAATCAAAACTTTTAGTTGAGCCTCAAGATTCGATTAAAGTTAGGTATGAAGCTAAGCACTCTTTCTGAATGCTCAAATAAGATTTCCGTTCTTTTGGGGTTAGAATATTAACTCTAGAGTCTTTTCCTTCTTCCCCAGGAGTCAAATCATTTGATTCCTTGTTATCATCTGAAGATTTCTGATCATCCCTTTGATTACTTTCGTAATCCTTTTGCTCTTCCTCCTCCTTCTCAGGTTGCTTCTGGGCAATATGGTGTAATTTATCATGAGAATTCATATATTTTGTCAGAATTAACTTCACAAATTCTTCAAAATATTTCTTCATTTGAATAGGCATACTGTTGATTATATCTAAAAATTACGCTCAAACACAAACCTGAAAGTGTCTTTAGTGCATGTTGACTTAAGAGATGATTTGAGTCAGAAGAGATATACCTTTTGAGCCTTCCAACTACTGAAGTTAGTATAAACGGAGAGCTATTTTAGCAAATCCGTATGAAATACCACAATTTTTCTCAACGTTGTGAAACTATTCTTCAAAGCCTCTACATCTTGTGACTCTTCTATAACCTGCACTGCTGAATTAAATTCCTGAGTGGGGTTCTTAGAAGGCATCAATTCAATTGTAAAGGGAACCTTATCACCTTGATCGAGTAACTTTCTCATTATGGCACTATAAATTAATTAAAGTTTGTACTTTCAGAATTCTTTCTTCTTCTCTTCTTCATTCTCAGATTCTTCTTCCTCTTCTTCTTGCTCTGAAATACTTTTATTCAGCTGCTCGTTTCGTTCTTTTAGTTCATGAGGAGTGGGAAAGAGCTTGTACACACTTTCTCTCATTTCCTGATCATCCATTAATTCGATCATTTTGGAATTCTTTTCCTTAATTAAGTCCTTCAACGTTTTCTTGTTTTCTTCTAATTCAGGGTATTTATGCTCTTTGAATTGCGCGATTGACTCCTGAATTTTATCTTCATCTGAGAGTTTGACAAGTTGTTCCTTCCAATTAGCTCCAAGACTTCCTCTGAAAGTAGAAGTTGCTTGTTCTCTGTCCGTTCGGGAATGTGTGGGAAGAGGCTTAATGTACTTAAATGCATCATTAAACCGAAGGATTTTGGAGCTCTCTGTTTCTTTATTTGACATGTATCCTTTATCAAAAGGTTCTCCTGCCAAAGGTCTTCCCTTATGAATATCAGGAAGAGATTCATGAGCTGAAAGTAGCCTCTCGCTAGAGTTTAATTTGTATAATTACCTAAATTTTTTATCCATTTTCATGACTTTCTTGATTGATTGTGATCTTTCAGTCATTAAGTAAGGAAATTCAACTTGACCTAGCCCGTTAAGGTAAGGTAACTGAGCATCGTCTAGTCTATCTCAGAGAGCATAATAGGTTTCTTTCTTTATTGTTTGATACAGAAGTTCTAGAATTTGATATTTTTCTTACCTAAAAGAGCATTTTTGTTTCCATATGCTCAGAGAACAGCTATAACTTCAGTTGTTATATATCTTATTTTGGGCTTTTCATCAGTAATTCATCGAGAAAGAGCTGCGACAAGATTAACGTAGTCAATATCTATAGGTTACTTCAACAATCTACCTTCATATTGAGGATCATTTGTTTCAAGGATACCAATTATGATAGCTCTGAGACATTCTTCCCTCACAATCCATTCTTGAGCCATCATTGACTCAGTGATAGTACTTATATACGTTCTGATCTTCATTGTCAGCATGACATCTTTGACTACAGTTTGAGCTCCTTGTCTCACAGAAACATCCTTATGTTTGAAAACATGATTAATAATAGCTATCAAGACCCTCTGAAAGTTTACTTTATTTCCAAAACCAGGAATGGCAAGGATCTTTTTGAGGATTTTAAACACTGATTTTAGAATTTCTTTCGAATGATCTTCTAAAATAATGGATAGGTATCTTCAGAATAAAGATCCATAATTTAGAATATGTTCAAAATTATCATCCTGCCCTAAGATTTTCTCCATCTCCCGAAGAGCAGTTACTCTTGTTCCAAGATGGTTGTGAAGTTCAGCAGCATTCATCACATCTCTGGGAATTACTCCAAAAGAGAGGCCATTAGGAGCCATTGCCCATGAAGGATCTTCAATTAGTAAGTAATCTGTTGGATCACCTTTTTCATTAAGTATTTCAATTTCTCTCTCAGTAGGGTGTTCAAGTTTTTCTTCTTCGGTCCCCTTAAGGTTGTTATCCACACCTCCATGCTCTTCTTCAAGTCTCATTTGAGTTTTCTCCCACTCATCAAGATAAATAAGTAGATCATCTCTTTGCTTTGGGTTCATCCAGAATGCTAATTTTTGTAGCTTTGTAAAATGAGTTTCTACCAGCTCTTCCAGAGTCTTGTTCGCTTGCTTTCTGACAGAATCTGCACTATCTTTGATCCTGATGATGATTGCTTCGAGTAGCAGTAGAAAGTGGTTGTTATTCTCATGGATCAACTGAGGACGTTGGTCAAGCAAAGCAGAGGCTGTAATCAAGCAATTCATTCTTACCCTCCAATCGGGATGATCTATCCCATGAATAGTAAGAGCTTTGGTGATAAGCTCATAGTTCTGAAAACTCTCAGCATATAGTAAAAGTAGCTCAATACTTCTCTTACTCACTGTAGTTTCGATGTTATTTATAAATATGAACAACTCTTTGAGAAGAGGATGAATCAGCCTGTCTCTTAGAAGGGTGCTTATCCGGCACTTGTATTTTTACTCTCTTCTTTCCATTTCTATACTCTTTGTTCGAAGAGATTTCTTGGTCGAGAGATGCAGCAGTAAGGATATCATCTTCAGTTTTTGTATAATAAACGATATTGGTATTTCCAATATTGCTGACAATAGTAGAAAGAAGTCTATTAAAATGAACTTCAAAGTCATGCATCGGACTATTGTGGAACTTCCTATGAAGAAGATTTAAAACTCTCAAAAATATTGCTAATGCAATCTGAATTTTTCAAAACTTTTAAAGAGATTTATGGTAAAATGATCTGGGATGAAGCTGCTCTTGACTATTTTATTTAAAAGTTCACGTAAAACAATAAACTCCAAGAGAGCCGAACATAGGTGTACTTTAGAGCAGCCGGCAGCAATTAAGTATAGCTGATAATCATTAAGTAGAGAGAAGATAACATCAAATAGACAAATCTCTGTTTGATAAAATATAAATGAAATATAGGCTTTAAGTTGAGTGTATTACCTTGTGACTCCTAGTTCATCTTCTCTGATCTTACTCCCTAACTCTCCTCTGCTAATCCAGTCGATCAAGAAAGCAGTTGCCTGCATTTGGATTTCTAGATAAGTTATTTTGTGTTAAAAATATTTGTAGAATGAAAATTCTATAAATTTTACCAATTGCATGATTAGGGTTATCAGCTTTGAAACATAACATCTCCTTCAGTTCGGTAAAAAGTTTCCTCATATTGCCTTCCATGACCAAATTATATGGATTGTTGAGCAAGTTGAGCTGGAGATCACCCAACCGGTTCTTTCACTGCTGAACTTTGGTACTATTGTTCATTTTCAATAAATATTATATCGACAGGGGTTTTGGGGTTTTGGGGTTTTGGGGTTTTGGGGTTTTGGGGTTTTGGGGTTTTGGGG